AACGTCCGCATTCATGAAAGGTAGGGCAAAGACAACGCAAGTGAACAAACACAACTTACTTCAAAGGGGATAAACACACTGGTCTCCTATGCCCGCAAGGCCTAAAGATTGATTGAAAGCTGTTTTATAAGAATATTTTGTAGCTGTACAAAATGTTGCTTTCATTTGCTAATGTTTTATCCATTTAATGTGTGGCAAGCATTGTTTTTAAACTCAAGACTTCACAAAATCAGATGTCTCCTGGACAGATAGCAGAACAATAACTATGGGGGGAAAGTTAGTTTTATTTTGACCTTTTCTTTTCTGTTTCATCTACTTCCTGGCTAAAGCCATGGGCACAAGGACCAGATCCTGTCAGCCAGGAAATGGAGAATGACAGCTCTGAAAGCTACTAGCAATAGCTGCAGGGGACCCACTGCCTGCTATCTTCTTCTTTAGCAAGGGAAACCAGATGGCTGGGGCCTGTTGCTGCAGCAAGTGAATTCCCTATTTGCACAGAGGTAGGCAGAATGGCAGAGGACTGGGTGGAATGCTCCTAAAAAAGCATGGGAACGAATGGGAATAAAGAGTGACTACAGAAACGAAACATCACAGATGGAAATGGGATTGATAGGGAGGCTGCAAAGGAGCCAGAGGGGCAACTAGAGGAAGGAAGAGACTGATGGTGGAGAGATTCTGCTTGAAGGGGCCTGTTCCTGCTCATTTCTTCCCTTATTTCATCAGCAAGATTATAATGAAATTCACTATCTTTAAATTAAATATGTGAGAATAAAAGGTAAATGCACAGTAGGACGATATTAATTGCCATAACAGAAGATATCATTAACCCTTCAAATGTTCTACTCTGGCTCTGGCAATGGCCTAAATCCTGAATTTCTGAGGGAAGCAAAAAGCCCTCACACTGAACCCAGACAACTATGCAGTAAGATAGAAAGAATCTTCTTTACCCAATCAATTTATACCCTGAAGCATTAACTTGATACACTACCCAGGATCTCAATGACAAGAATTACAATAACTGCACATGCTATTTTAATCCATGCAAGCATATAATCCTCATAGAAATCTTATTTACAATATTTGCCTCAATAACATCATGAGCCAATGAATTCCACACAGGAATTATATCTTGCATAAAACATAATTTAATGTGTTGCCTCTTAATTTCACTAAATGCCCCCTTGTTCTTTTATAATGAGCCTTGATAAAAAGCAGTAGCTCTGTCATAGGACCTTTGACTAATGAAAATTTGAAAATAGTTCTGGGTAATAACACAATTATATATTTGTAGTTAAAATCCAAAGAATTGTATCAAACTGTATAACAAAGCATGTTAATATCAAAAAAGAAAAACATTTAGCAAAAAAATGCTTTCAGACTTGTTCGTTGTTTGTTTTTTTAATTTACATCATTTACTGATTGCTAAATCTCCAGAGAAATACTTTTAAATTGCTTTTTTCCCACTGCACACTAAATAAGGCCTTCTTAGTATTCCAAAGTCTGAACATTATAGAAATGTTGGGGTCTGCTTCTGCTCCCAAATTAAGGTAATGGGCAAATACCAATTGACTTTCTTAGAAGCCTGGCCCAAACCTTAATTTGCATTTTTTTAAAAATACCTTACTTGAAAACTATCTGGTTAATCTTCAGAACCTACTATCTCTGGGTATGTCTAGACTAGCTCGTTAGTTCGAGCTAGGTAGGGTAATTATGGCAACCGGAGTTGCAAATGAAGCCCGGGATTTAAATATCCCAGGCTTCATTTGCATGTTCCCAGGCACCGCCATTTTTAAATCCCCCTTAGTCCGAACTCTGTGCCCGCGGCTACACGCGGCACGGAGTAGGTAGTTCAAATCAGAGATCCTAATTCGAACCACCGTTACTCCTCATTCCATGAATTAGGATCTCTAATTCGAACTACCTACTGCCAGCGATGCATGCTTGTCCAGGCCCTGCCCCCTGTCTGTGTACGTCACCGCGTGTAGCTGCGGGCACGGAGTTCAGACTAATGGGGATTTAAAAATTGTGGCGCCCGGGAACATGAAAATGAAGCCCAGGATATTTAAATCCCAGGCTTCATTTGCAACTCCGGTTGCCCTAATCACCCTACCAAGCTCGAACTAACGAGCTAGTGTAGACATACCCTCTGCTACTTCAGGTTGAACCCTCCAGTCCTGCACTCTCTGGTCCAGCAACATCTGTGGTCTGCCATGATTTTAGTTAGTTGGCTGTCCATTTATCATGGGTGTGGCCAAGTTTCCTGCAGCCTCATAAAGTTGATTTACAGCCATCAGTCCTGGCTCTCAGGCTACATCTACACTGTGTGTTTTTTGTGGAAGAGGAAATGCAAATGGAGCGCTCATTTGCATATCTCATGCTCTCATTTGCATATATTTTTCCAAACCTTTTTGTGGAAGAGGTTTTTGCGATAAAAAGCCCAGTGTAGACTGGGCCATTTGTTCGAAAAAAAACCTTTTGTGCAAGAGCCTGTAAACCTCATTTTTTGAGGAATAAGGGCTCTTGTGCAAAAGTTTTTTTCCCGACAAATGGCCCCATCTACCCAGGGCTTTTTATCGCAAAAACCTCTTCCACAAAAAGGTTTGGAAAAATATATGCAAATGAGAGCATGAGATATGCAAATGAGCGCTCCATTTGCATTTCCTCTTCCGCAAAAAACACAGTGTAGACATAGCCTCAGTGTTCTATGCTGCTGTTTAGCTCTAATCTACCCCTAAATGTCTTCTGAAAAAATAGTAAGCAGAAAAAGCATTGGTAATGCTGCTAGACAATATTGACCTCCTGTGGTTCAGCAAATTCTCTGGTTCGGTAATGGTCAAGTCCGAAGGATGCCGGACTAGAGAGGTTCAATGTGTATAACTTTATTTACAGCTGTGTATATATATGTTTATTACAATATGTAATATCAGTGTTCCTTGTAAAGGTTACTATTTCATAGAAATAAGACTGAAATTATTGCCAAACTTAAGTGGGACAATTTCCAGAATTTTTCCCAACATATAATTAACTTTTTATTCCATGTTACCATGTTAGACAATTTTTTTTTAGCTGATACTGATTTCAAAGTCTTTTTTTAGTGTAATAAAAAAACTTTTTGCTTGAACTTCCTTGGTTCCATTTCAAATGAGGATCTGCAATATTATTGTACCAATGACAAATCATTTGAGTAGTGATTTTTCTGTTTCATATCAGTAAATTAAACTATGCCTCACAACCAATCAACTCTGGTATAAAGCGAAAGCAAGGTCAAACAAACATATTGGTCACTAAAAATCTGTGATCAAGTTGTCTGATCATACATATGCACAACTCTCTGAATTGCTGCATATACACTGTAAAAACTTAAGCAATTCAGTTATTGACTGCTGCTTGTGTAGATGTAGATTAACCTGCTGTCCATAAAACTGCAATGATAGAGTACACCAATATTTAATTAAAACCACTAGTCTGTTCTTTCAGACATTAAGAAAACCAACATTCTTTATGTCTGACAGACTCATGATGTTGTGCTTCAAATATATACACTTAACAAAATTAACCTGTGAAGTTTATGTCTAATATTGTCTTGTACCTTTAAATATAACTGACATCTTAGAATACTAGAGGGGTAATTATGATAAACTACACAACAGTGCTATTGCAGATAATATCATTTATCAATCCTGTGGTCCCCATCATTCATGCATTTACAGTTTGGGAATACAGTGTCTGCAAAGAATAATAATCCATAATGGCTACATTCTCAAGTCTCATGCTAGCTCACTATACAAAATAAATTTTAAAAAGGTTAACTGTATAAAATTGGAAAAAATGTAAAATTTTATTCCAAGAAAATTAACAGGCTACACAGATAAATTTTGGCAAATGCAACTTTATATTGAAATCCACACATCTGTACCTTAAAGAAGGAAAGACTCACAGACGCTAATGTATTTTTAAAGTACTAGAAATCATATTATATGCTTCCACAAGTTAAAACTTAAATAATTTAAAACAACTAATACACCAAAATGTGCAGAAAGTATAAACAAGACTGTGCCTTCAGTAGAATAAATGCTTCACAAATTGTGCAAGATATCATACCAAGGCTGCGGTCTCCCTATGACAGCTGTCTTAAAATATAAACATACATCAACTGCCTGTGTTTCTCAGAACAAACTAGAATGGGCAGCACACCTAGAAAAAATATATCATCCCAGTGATGTGCATACTAATTTTGGGAACCATGGCACTAAAAAAGGAAAGATAGGATTATGTGATCTTTCATGCATTCCCAAATGACTGACCAGAGTTACTGATTCAATTTTCCTTGCTTATTTGCTTCATTGCTAAACAAAATGGAAGATACTAGATAACCCTTTAAGGCAACATGTGTTTATTCCGTGTAATTATGACTGTTCAGTTATGACTGGGTATTACCTAGATTAATGTTGCCTGACAGACTGATATCTAGCTTTTTTAAAAATATAAATAGGAGTTCAATAAACTTTATACCAAATCAACAAAAACCACAAAGTACAGTTGAATGCTAGTAATTTCACTGTTAAGGAAATGGTATTTAGAAAGAGCAATAGGTTTGGGGAAAAAAGAGTACTGTAAAGTCTAATTTGAACAAAAATACTGCTTTGAAATGCTCCCCAAAACTCAGTCACAAGGCAAACAGATTTGTCAGTGTGATAATCCAATAATGCATGGCACATCTTTAATCAGTTACAGTACTTACGAGTCCCCGATTTTCAGTCTTTGCAAAACAATAATTGTATGAAATGTTTTAAATGTCTTCAGATGTCTAAAATTAGTTTTTATCAACACATTAACCTCATATCAACTTAATTTATTAAGATGTCCAATGCTAATCATTTTGATGTTCTTATTAAATGTAGTGATATACACAGCATTTAGCACTGATACTTAGCATCTGCAATCATTATCTAGATTTCAACCACATAAAGGAATTCGGGGCAGTGGTTCAGTCCTTTTAGGTGAGCTATTGCAAAGACTGCAGAATGTTGCCCAAATCCTTACAGCTGCTGACTTCCCATTCTTGATTTTCTTCTCAAGACATGGCTACAGGCCACAATTGCTTAGCAGAGAAAGGGTAGTGTTTCACAAGGCTAAAGATTTACAGATGCTCCCTCATATAACACAGTAAGGTTCCCTTGGTAACCTGGATTTTCTGCAGTAAAGAAGGGTTGTACTGAAACAGCGCCTCAGCTCCCTGTTGGAGAAAATGCAGACAAAAGGATTGATTCCAGCCTGGGCAAAACTCATCCAGACAGCGGCTGTTAGAAATCCCCCTGGTACGACAGGCCCTCTTGCAAAAACTCTCCAATAACAGGCTACCAAATAGGGACCCCACAAGGTCAGAAAGAGGAAAGTCATAATGTAAAACATTCTGCTGATTCGCTTTTCCATTTTGAACTCATCCAAGACCAGTAGCCTTCTTCTGCCTGTGGTGTTTGCATTTTGCCTGATTCCCAGCAAGGTTGGTGGTGTGGGACCCCTTCCAAATCCAGCCAGCCAATTAGCTGCTGCTTGACCGCTGGCTCCAGGGCCATGAAAAGTCCAGTTCTGGCTCACCGCAGCAACAAACTGGACTGGCTTCATTTTCCTGCGATCATGAACAAAAAATATCAGCTTGAGGTAGACAAGCTGTGTGGCTAGGAGTATAAGGGCAAGAAGAAGCATAAATCCCAAAGAATCATTGGCTCTGAAAGAACGATGCTGAAAGGTGCATTGGTCTTCCTCCCTAATGAATGAGTAGGTGCCCACGTCTAAAACTGGGGGGAAAGCCATAGCTACAGAAAGGGTCCACACCATACAGATAACTGCCAAACAAGTCCAGAAGGTCAGTCTTTTTGTATAAAACCGGTGGTGGGCAATAGCTAAGTACCTGGTGACACTTATGCAGAACAACATAAAAGCAGTGTGGAAGCAGGACAAAACCCCCAAAAAGGCAATCACTTTGCAAGTAAGAGTCCCATACGTCCAAGTAGAGCCATTTTTTACTGAGGTGAAAACAAACGGGAAACAAATTGCAGATCTGAGGATGTCTGAGCAGCAAAGATCCAACAGGAAGTAGTAAGGAGCTCTATGCAGGGTCTTATCTTTGACTAGCAAAATGGAGATCAGAAGGTTACCCACCACACTGACTCCTATTATGAAACCCAGTGAAGTCAGTTTTAGGAAGGCTGTTAAAGGAGAGAGATTTTGTAAAATGTTGTCAGCTGCATGGCTGTAGTTCGCCATAGATGGATGGATGATATGGATATTGCCTCAGTCAAGTCTTATGATCTATATATAAGAACAAGGAAAAAGTAGATCCATACATCTTACTGAAAATGTAATCCACAAACAGAACAGATCTTGTGTTTAGTCATAGAGTACATCCTCTTTTCTTCTTTCTGACTTGTCATGCCATCAAAATATCTGGAAAAAAAATCAAGCTATCAGTTCTTAAGTTATCAAGTAATGATGTTAGAAAGAGCTAACAAAGATGTTAATTTATGGGGACCCAAATGAAGTTGTAAATTTGAGTACTATTTGTTTTTATATACCACGAGGCATTTTCATATGACTTGCAAAGCTATTGTATAACATTTTGGCGTCTTTGGAATTTCATATATTTGGCTAATTTACAGTTCCTGAACTGACCAAACACATCATCTTTGATACACACCTTATATTTGTAGAATATATAATTTTATAGTTCATGCCTCAAAGGCTTTATGAATAAAATGATCCCCAGTTCACAACTCTAGAAATTGATCACTGGCATTTTAAAAGCTATTCTAAAAGACCACTTGATTTGGACATTACCTACCTTTATTTTGCATCTATACATTTGTCAATGTTGTAGAGGCAGCTGCTGTGTTGATATGGATCATACCCAAAGAAACCCTGCAGAATTTATGTTTTTTAACCCAAGTCACCAAAGCACATTAATCACACAGTGTTAGCTCAAGCCCATTGTAAAAAAAATGGTATTCACTATTTTTTCTCCTGTAAACCAAGATTTTGTTATTAGGCTTTGAAATAAACACGGATGCTAGACAGACAACAGCACTGTGCTTTAAAGGACTCCTCCTCCCCTTCTTCTGCCTTTCCCCTTTTATTATTACAAATCTTTAAAGCCCCAACATTATCGTTAAAGCTCCAACATTATTATTAAACCCTGGTTAATGTAAACATTGGGGGGGGGGGGGGGAAGGAAACACACCCAAAATAAATCCCTTCCATTGAAAGGGCTGTCTTTGGTTGTGCTTAAATAAACGTATAACGATTGCATCTTTCTTTAGTTAATTAGGACTCCAATTATTCTAATCCTTCCGGTGAATCGCAACTGAATACATTTCACGCAAAAGATGAAAATAAAATACAGTATAATAAAAATTGCCCGCTGCTTTCCCAAAGCCAGGGACAAGAACCCCTGCAAGCGTGATCAGGCTCCTCCGTTATTCACAAGAAGTGCTTCCTATGCCACCTCGGGTGTACAAAGGAGACTCACACTGAATTCCACTAGAATCCTTCCATTCTTACCAGCCACAAAGCGCCTGATTACTGCTGTGTAAACAGAGCCTGATCAGATCATGGCAACGTTTTAACACCACGAAATCCGCCCCCCACCCCCAGTTTTCCTCCCGTTATTCCCTCGGCTCCACACACACACACACAGACACACACACACAGAGCGATGCAGGGGGAGACTAGCTTCTGGGTTGCAAGGGCGCCTGGGAGCCGCTGGTGCTTTGCATCCCCATTTGCCCTGAGCCTGCTCAGCATCCCCAGCCCAGCTGAAGATGCATTGTCTGTGGCCACTTCCATTATGCAGTTAAGTTAAAAAAACACCCTCGGGGAGGAAGATCTCTCCCCCCCCGCAGCGCCTGCACCAGCTCTGCGCCCCCCAGCCCCTCTCCTCCTACCTGTTGGTGCTGGCGAGCCTCGCACTCTACAGCGTCTGCCGGCTGTAAATTGCTAGTGGGTTTTTGTTTTTCTTCCCCCTTGGTACCTGGGCTGAGGACCTAGTCAGTGGCGCCGGCGGCGCATGCTCGCTCAGCCTCCTTCAGCTCCCAGCCTCCGCCTCCCCTGTCGCAGCGGCACAGTCTCTTGCAGCCGCCGCCGCTGCACGGTGCGGCTGCTGAGCCGGAGTTCGCGGGGAGCCGGGGCGAGCCGGCGTGGGGAGGAGGCGGAATCAGGCTGCTCCTTGCTCATGCCTTTGAACTGACCCCTCCCCCCCACCGACCCGAGCCGGGGAAGGGCTGGCTGCCGGCTGGTACTTTGCAGCCCCCTAGGAGGCAGAGGACGGTAGCTCGCGGCTGCTGGGATGCGGTCATTCGAGGCGCAGCATCTCTCCTGTCAGAAGTTACCCAGGCCAGTTGGTTTCCTCTCTAGCAATGGTAGAGCAAGAAAAGGGGCCCTGAGCCAAGTGCAATCACAGGAAGGGATGGGGAGGGTTTTGCAGAGGGTTGATTTGGAAACAAAAATCTCCCCCCCCCCCCCCCCCCCCCACACACACAGATACACACTGTAGGTATGTTTGTCATGAAGCAAGTTTTGAGGGTTCCAGTGAAAACTTGTAGAACATATTTTGCTGTAAGAAGATGGGCCTCCATTTCTCCTCCAAAGCAAACTGCTCTCTCTCTCTCTCTCTCTCTCTCTCTCTCTCTCTCTCTCTGTGGGGGGAAGACTATGGAAATATTAAACTGATGATGGAGCTATAAGGCTTCTGCATATGGTGAGGTTCTGGTGGTGTCCCAGGAACCCCTGGATTGAAGTACAAGTGCTATGAGATGGCATTGCTGATCAAAGACTATTGCAGTATGTCACTCCCTGTCTCCCTGTGGTGGTGTTTAATTCATTCTGTGTTCTGGCTATCAGTCACAATATTTAAAGCTAGAAAAAAACCCAAGGATTTTAAATTAAACCTCATAAAGCATGTCCCTCTGCCCTCCGGCATATTTAATTTTATACAAGATTATTTGAGAAAATCATGGGGGGAGAGAGGGGGAAGAACAACCACCAAAAAAATGTTTATTTCAGGGCTGTTATGGAACAGCTCATTGTTGGTGGGGAAATTTTGATCCTGCAAGCCTTCCTCATGATGAACTTCAGGTCAAAGGGAACTCTTTCTTAGAGTAGATTGGTAGGGTTGAGCTCATTATGTGTAGCTCAGGCTTTTCAGAATACAGTTATCTTGACATCATTAGTAGATTGCAGTCCTTTTTGTTAATCTGATGTCAAAATTGTTTGAGATTTGTTTCACTTTTAAAGTGACTTTGAATTCAATGGCAAAATTCATTAACTTCAGTGGGAGTACAGTCTTGCCCAAAGGGATTACAACAACTGAAAAGTGTGGTTATTTAAAGCAAAAACAAAATAAAAAACAACCTTTGACATGGGTTATTCACTACAGATGAAATTCATCTTTTGTGAAGAGAGTTTGCACAAAGCTTCAGTCCCATTTAGTGGGCTTTTGTGTTCAATTTATATATAAATCACGTGTGTGCACTGAACATACGGGGTTAATTTTGGCCCTCAAGAATTGACTTTTTGGGTGATTTAAAAGGTTATTAAAGTTACATTACTCCAAGGTGTACAATTGTTACTCCATAACCACGTTACCTAAGTTTCTATATCGAAATATATGTTCCAAGTATATTATGGTTGAAAAAACTTTAAAGACAAATTCCTGCTATGAGTCGATATATTAAATAGACTGATCAAATATACTGGAAGAATTCCATGAATAGCTTGAAAATTATGTACTTTTGATAATAGCATATCAGTTGTATCTTCAACATTCTGATTAGGAAGCAGGTTGGCTGATGTATAACTCATTGTTGAATAATATAATTGCTCACAGGTAGGATTTATTCATAGAACACAGTTTGGTAATGTGTTCACATAGTAAGAAAATACATAAAAAGATGGTCTAATGCAAATTAACACTGCTTACTGTACATGTGTAATTTCAGAACCCAGACATCTAGGCCTGGAGGAATATGTTTTCTCATAGGGTGAACTAACTGTTTAAGGCAGTGATGGGCAACCTTTGGCCTGAGGGCTGCATGTAGCCCATTAGGGTTCTATGTGTAGCTAACAAGGCATCTTGTTTATTTTTGCCTTCAGCAGCAACTGGTGCCCTGGGCTAACCATGCAATCGGTGCCCCCACCTCCAAACCCCTCAATGATATTGTGCCACCATTTGGCGCCCCATTGCGCCCCATTTAACTTGGTGCCCTAGGCGACTGCTTAGTTCGCCTATATGGACGGGCCGCCCCTGGCCCTCAGTTCCTCTGGTTTCCATCCACATAGTTTTTTTCCCTACTAGTATTACTTAAGTTGCATGGACTTAAAGAAAGGATATGGGAAGTGAAGTGCAAGCTGATTGCACACAATATTGACTGTGAGAGCGGTACACTCCCTCTGCATTCAAAGTGTTGTTATGGTTCAGTTGGCACAGCCTGCAAATTCTAGGTATGCAAGTTCAGTAAGCAAAATGACCTTATTCTAGGAGATTGTCTTGGTTACGACAATCTTGCAGCCCACTGAGATGAAGGAGGGCCACTCATGCGGCCCACTCACCAGCCTAGGTTGCCCACCATTGCTTTAAGAGATAAGATTGCTTCTTCAAGTAGTGGGACCTAGAGTACCAAGATCATGTAACTAAGAATACGGCTGGCTTGGAGTTAAAGGCAGTCCTGGGAAAACACTAAGAAGAGCAGATCTCAAAGTAAGTGGGTCCATCAAAGAGTGGTAAGAAAATCAGGAAAGTGCTAGAGAGGAGGAAAGCCTCAGCAGGGACAGAGCTAAGAATCCAATATCAAAGGTATGAGCCAGTTAGGAAGGATGAGTGGAAGATATGTTATTTTGAGCTTTATGTTAATAAACGAAAATCCTGGAAAAGAGGAGAGTTTTTTTGGGAAAAACAACTGTAATGTGAAGTCTGATGAAATGGCAAGAAGAGAAAACTGAGACAATATCAGGGCCTGAGGACAGATCCTGCTAAAGATGATAGGTAGCTAAAGGATCAAATAATTGGATTGAAATCCTGGTTATTTTGAATTCAGTAGCAAAACTGACAGTGGAATCCCTCTTCAGTGGGATCAGGATTTCAGCTTAGAACTATACATTATCAATATACAAACAGCAGAATTTTTATTCCACTATTCTCTTGCTTATTTGGATAATTGAGGTGTTGGCTAATCTTTCAGGAAACTGGACATTTGCAATGTTTGTTTATTCTCCATTATGCAGATTGTAGAGCGGGGTGGGAGTTTGTGGGGTGTCTGCAGAATAGCACAGATGCTCTGCAAGAATGAAACTCAGCTTGGTGCAGATGCCCAGCACAAAGTGTATTTACTGTTTAAATGACTGTGATAGGTTGTATCAAAAGTAGATCCTTTTCAATAAATTCTTCCTGGAGGAAATCTTGCAGAAGGCCAGAATAAGCTCTGTGTACCACTGTAAGCTCCAGTTTAAAATTTAGAAGTAATATTTTACCAGACCTAATGTGATACGTAGACCTGTGTGGGCTCTGTACGGCATTAATTTCACCCCTACTGTATTTGATCAGTATTTGTAAGCTCATGACTTTCACTCCTAATGCCCCATGCATCCCGCACTGCTTGTACTATACTGTGTTTGCTACACTTCTTGCTTGTGTACTGTAAAAAATGTACCAATTCTGTCCTAAAACTATGGAAGCAGCAGAAGACAAAGGAAGTTGTAATTCAAGGCAAATGCATGAGATGTGTAAGGAAACAATGGTGGCATTGGTATGCGTGTGCATCATCCCTGCAGTCAAAGATCCGTTTTGGAACATAAGGGACATAGTGATGAAGTTATCCAAATACAAATGACAGGTGAACAAGGCCCAAATGCTCAAACAATGAGGTGGCCTTTAATGTGTAAGGGAGACATTGCTGAAATACAGGGATACTTTTTAAACAATGGACTAAATTCTGGCGTCAAATCTCTGTTTTCAGACTTTGTCAACTGAAATACTAAGGCAAGCCTCTGTTGCAGCCTGGCATATTTCAAAGAGGGTGTCTCTCTCCAAGTACATGTCTCACATATATCTGAAGTAGAAACTTCAAAAGAGAAATGCTGGTTTGCAAACATTTTACATGCAATATACAACTAGATCCTGTGCTAATTTCTAAAAATTTCTTTACTCCACTTCAGGAGTATAAATCATTCTTACTTATGGAATCATTTACTTTCTTTACATGCTCACTAGGGGAATTTATATACACATGTACTGCACTGTATGATGTGAAAAGTTAAAAAAAAATCACAGGATCAAATCCTCAAGAACATTTAATGAGGTTCTTTAAAATGTTTCAAAACTGCCTTTGAAACCTTTTTTTCCCCATTGAGTCCCATTGTATAATCATACAGATTTACATGGATGTACAATTTACTGTTACAAAAGCTAGAGTAACCAAATAAGAAGTTGTACCACTCTAAACACATGTAAGCGCGTTAGCTCAGATTCTCAGTGGGACTTAGGCCCCTAAATAGCTTTGAGGATCTGGACCTTAAGGTCTATTTTTTTGGAAAAAGTATTTAGGCACTCAAAGATGCAGATAGTTATGCATAGTTGCAGAAATGTAAGTGTATCACACTGAGTATGAGACTTATTATTTTTAACAAAATATTTATTTGTATGTTCTAGGTTTATAAACATAGACATTTTAAAATTCAATATTTGTAATTCACTTGTGATTTATTGAAAAGCTATTGAATTGCTAATGATTTCAAAGCCACATGGGAGTAATAATTCAAAATCATTGCCTTTAAAAGATACATCTATCCAGATCTTCACAGTGGTGTCACTCCCCTGGTCAGCAGGGCAACGGATATTTGTAGCAACTGAGGATTTGGCCAACATGAATAAAAGCAGAAATAGTAACATTTACAAAAAGTCAAATTTGTAACTTTTCTGTAAAAGTGGCCATTATAAATTCCTGATCAGTTAGATATGTAACATTTTAAAACATGCTATATTTATATTTACTCTGCTAATAATTCAATGAAGCAGGCTCCCACATACATATTCAGGCATCTGCCTGATTCAAATGTACTGAGTACTCAACAATTCACATCCATTTCAATGGGAGCTGCTGGGGGCTAAGCACTTTTGAGGGAGATGCCTAAAATCTAACCATAGATGTAGAAGACTTATGGCAGTCTTTGATTTTTCCAAACTCTATCTTTAGGTAACATGATGGCTCAATATGCTGAAAAGTAGGATACAGTGGGTTGGAAACTGGAAAGTCCCCTCCTATAAAAATGTCACATTTAAAACAAAAG